CAGATAAACCGCCGATTGTGAAGTGCGTTCGGTAATTCGGTTTTTAAACCTGCTGAAATTCACCACAGCTTGTTGAATTAGGCACTCTACCCAAAACCGCCAGCGGAGCCGGCTCTAGCGTCGTGCGCTGTTCTGCTTCACGACAATGCTCGGTCTCACGTTTCGGCGAGAAGTCAGACGCAACTGGACAAGCTTCGTTGGGAAACGCTGGATCATCCAGCATACAACACTGACCGACAAGCACGGACAGCTGTTTGATGCTGGGGTATCAGACTACTCCAATCAATTTCGCGACGACTTAACGACTGTGTAGCGAACATAGGAGCTTCAACAGATTAACATTTAGGTGGGATATCGCAGATGTTTAGTGAAATTTCGAGTTAACATTTTAATCATTTTCTATTTATCGGTAGACCTAAAACTTGAGATAGTCTGCTCAAAATTACAGCACTCATAGTGGGTGTTGCATTTTCTATATCATTTAGTATATTATAGTCTGTGATACAAATTATGTTCGTGAATATAACTTCTCTGAGTCCAGTACAAAACGGTTTTTGCTCAAAAGACGACCGTCGTAAACCTCAAAGGTAGCTATTGAGATGCCCTTGGATTCGAATCCAGCCCTGTACTTTCAGGCAAAGGCTCAGCAGACGCGCAACCGGTTGTGTCGCGGCTTGACGCTGCTCATATTAGAATAGTCCCCGACCCGACCACAGGCCGTTGGTTATATAAACACAGTCATTTTAATAATTTCAAAAGCCGAGGCGATAAAATTATAAAGTAATGCCCGGCAAAGACAAATATTGTTTTTAATATTATTTTTATGGCGGCTCCACACAATAACTGTAAATGTTTTTTCTGCTCTTTGAATAGAACAAGTCTTTTGCGTTCCCCATTATGTATACGACATTCGATAAAGATGAGAATACAGTCTTGATGTCTGAGAATTTCGGGGACTGACTAACAATGAGATGTGTCCGTAAATAGCGATCCGTTCATCTGACTCAAGTAAGAGTCAATCATAATTACATAATCATTGCGGCCACCTACAGTATTTTGATATTTTTCTTTTTAACGTAACTACACCTATACTCAACGACAGATAAAATAGAACACCCAGTGAAAATGATTTTATTGTATCTGGATGGTACTTGAGATTGAAGTGGAAAGAATTTCAACCGGAAATATTTGCAGATACATAATATATAGAATATATTTATATATATATATATATATACAGGGTGACTTCGAAGTTGAGTCATTTCTTTTAACAGTGAGTAGATCTGATCAAAAGAAATGTTTTTTTCCTTTACCATTTTTCTGGTAAAATTAAAGTAACAAAGTTATAACCCTTTGGAAGTTTGAGTACCGCCCTGTCTCAATAATAGTATTATGTGCTCGTGTTTGGCGACAACGGATATAATCCGCCTTATCGGTTCATCGCATCGGAAACAAAAAAGCGAAAGAATTTGGAACGATGTTTTTACAATTATTTTATTCATTTGTATACAGTCAGTGTCAGTGAATAGTGGTGTGTGTTGCGTGGCTCAAACGAAATAAAAAATGGCACATGTTTATGCGGATCGGTTTCCCAATCGAGTGCAACGGGCTCGTGAATCAGGTGACGGCATACCGGTGCTCCAAGACCTCACGATCAAATACAGGTCCGCACTGAAATACTTGTCAGGAGGATACTTTATAAAACAAGGTAAATTTTTTTTTTATATAGAGGGTAGGGTGACTTTGAAGTTGAGTCATTAATTTTCAGATAATGATTGTAGAAGGAAGATAAACCAAAATATGTGTGTAAAAATAAAAAAAAATTTTTACCTTGTTTTATAAAGTATCCTCCCGACAAGTATTTCAGTGCGGACCTGTATTTGATTTGATCGTGAGGTCCCCTGTGAGGTCTTAAGTCACCTGATTCACGAGCCCGTTATACTACATTAACAACATGATATTATTATTGAGGGCGGTACTCAAACTTCCAAAGGGCAATAACTTTGTTACTTTAATTTTACCAGAAAAATGGTAAAGGAAAAAAACATTTCTTTTGATCAGATCTACTCACTGTTAAAATAAATGACTCAACTTCGAAGTCACCCTATATATATAGGGTGCGCCATCTTTTATGTCGGTATGTAAACATGAAATAACTTTGAAAATGAAAAACTGATTTCTGTATATCGGGTATTTTTATTACATATGGTCCTTTACAATTTATTGGGACAATGCACATGTATCGGCCAACCTTCGGACCAGCTGTCTATATGCTCAGCGACTCCTCTACACTGCTGAAAACATAAAAATCGGTGCGCGAACCCAATTGCCATGTTAACCGTTTGGCACGAGAACAAGGAATAAGAGTTTATAGGCGGCCAGAGAGGAGGGTACTACGAGCAGTATTTACGAGACGAGACCTCAACATAATTTTTATTTTAGTAAACAGTTACGAGTGTAATCAAGTTTTGTCAACGGATTCGAATCAGTTAGAAGGATCCAAACCCATATGTTTACAAATCTTTGTTTGTCGCCAAACATTTTTAGTTTTGGTGCGTTTTTGGCTAATTTGCATACCATTGCCTACCAGAGTGACAAACCAATACATATTATACAATAACAAGGTTTCGGAATATCTCAATTAGTTTCTTTTTTGGGCATACTCAGCCTCCTTCTTAAGATCTTGTGGCACTAAGATGAGATCGTAAAATTACTACTCATAATGTGCAAGTACCGTTCCTAAGAACGTTTGGATTCAAAATTAAAACGGATAAAGTTAAATCTTAAGTTAGTTAGATTAAAGTCTTTTCAATATCCATCAAAAAAATTGGTCTGTCTCCAATATTTTGCATTTTTTAATGCTGTTGTTACGTATGTAATTCTGGTGCTTGGGCAATGAAACAAAAATAAACAAATCAAAACTATCTCACAACTGTCCGGGTTGATGTTAAAATCATCCACGAAAATTACCTAGCTAGATCTGAATTGTGGAGATGTAACGCCACCCCTCCCCCCCTCTCCAGACGCTCAGGCCCATAAAGAGACGTGTAAATGCTATCATGAAGAATCCAAGGACATCTCAAATGTCAAAGTCCAGTCCTTGAAATATAAATCACAAAGTTGGAGTGCTTGTCTAAAATCCGCCATTTTCATTTTACAAAATTTTAGTAGCTTCAAGACGAAGCTAGAGATACCTATTATATCACAATTCATCAAACCGCTTGACCTGCAGCCCGTAGACTTCCAACTTCAAGGTTTACATTTTCGATAGTTTAGTTTTTATAAAATTTTAGTATATACAGTATTACTAGATAAATATAGAGCTGTAACCCACCCCACCCCCCTCCCGCGAAACGGAAATATTACTGAACGTAAATTTTAGGGTCACCAATGTGCCCCCCATGAATTTTGCTATATGGGCGCTCATGATCTTGAAAGTCTCAAAAGAGCTTCCAAGTTCTCTTGTGTGAGATTAGTGTGAGCGACTACGACTACGACTATTTAATAATCATTGTGAGAGGTCATTTAATAACTCATTTTTTTCTCTTTCGCCTCGCGATTCAACGACGTTTACATATGAATACAACACTTCATCCTCATATACGTAGTTCACCTGTCAGGAAGAAGTACCTATTATTTTATACGATAAGTATTAGGGTATTTGCCTTCTATTTATGTTGTCTAGTTAATGATGATGTATCTGACAGTCAGTCAAGGTTCCTTTACGTGATGATATGTGTGGGCTGTACTTTCAATGGTGTGGCTTACCTCCAAATTATTTTCACCCTATAATCTTCTGTATAAGATGATTTAGGTACCTTTTAAAAGTACTACTACTACTTCGGGGGTGCTAGTAAACCCACGCTGAGCTAGACATGTGTATTACCTTCAGCATGGGCACCCGCAAAAACCAACGGTTTTTAGCGCGCAAACAGTCATTCTACGTTTGCTCACTAGGATCGTTGTGAACGTCCATCTATGGAGGAATCACTCAACTAAAGTACACGCATTATTGGTTGCATATGTTTTGTGAGGCCGAGTGGTTTATCTCTGTACTTCTGTAGTATTAGCTGTGCCCGAAGGGTTATATTTATGTTGTGCTTTCTGAAGAGAGGTTATGTTCAAAGCTATAAATTACGAAAAACTGAGGGGAATTACTGGGAAGTCATCACCGCGCCCGCGTTGTGGGTAATTACTGTTAGCATGTATACGGCTTGTAATTCGACACTGTACAGAGGGTATAATTGTTTCTTATCTCTCTCATTTTTGAAATTCAGCGAATTTGTATATGTAATTTACACAATGGATAGGAAAGAGTGGTTGCGCAACTAATTTCTAGCTTTGAGTCTCAATTAAGAGTATTTGAAACAAGAACCCAATGTAATTATCATCAACACATATAACTTACAGCTTACACCTCCAGTAATACCATCTCTGAAGCAGATTTTACATCATATCAGAGCCAAAAGTTGATAACAAGCCCCATGACGTTTATATAATGTCAAAAAGACTAGTATAATGTCAAAAAAAATCGGCATAATGTCACTTTTCAAGATACGTGATACCCGTGCCGCAAGAGTTTTCCACAGCGAGCGCCAATCGTCGTCAAGTGTCCCAACAACTTTTTGAAAAGCGGGAGGTAGAAAATTTTGTTAAGATAGACAAATCCTGAAATGATAGACAAAGCCATGCTAAAATAGCGGATTTTAAGGAATTTTGGCCCCTATAGAATTACCTAGAGACCTTTCGGATATAATGTTCTGTGAAAAGTCGAACAAGAAGAAGAAAATAAGAAAATTGTCCTAAAGCATCTGTAATCCTTATCTTTGTCCAGGATTCTCTGGAGCCCTTTCTAATCTCCTTTTTGTACTCCTGCAATGCCTTTTTGTATTCGTCCCATAGAGGAGAACCTTTCCTGTGCTTAACTCTGCTAAGAAGTTTGTGCACCGCTCGTTTTCTATCCTCTAATTCTTTGGTCCAGAAGGTTGCCTTGCCCTTACCTTGACTTTTGCGTAACGGGTAGTTTTCCTCATATGAAGCCGTCAAGTCCCTGCTCAGAGACTCGACAGCTGCTTCTATGTCAGAGCCCCTACAAAGTCTGTATGGGACCGCTCCAAGCTTACTGTCAATGTCTGCCTTAAAGGACCCCCATCTAGTATGCCTAGGATTCCGAGCATATTTATCCGGAATCTCTCCATCAGTCTTAAACAGTATATACCTGTGATCCGATAGAGAGGGTGTCACTGCAGATTAAAATCTGTTTTGCTGAGCCCAAAGACCAATATGTCTAATATGTACTACAAGACTAAACTTTTCGTACATAACTACGCAATTTACAACTTAAAAACTAAAGAGGCTTAATTGCTATCTGTGGAATGAGGCTGAAGGGCTGCTACCTCAAACAAATTTAATTCTCGTATATTTCCTCGAAACAGAGGTTATTCCTAAATTAGATCCTTCCAAAAAGATGATAATATACAGTGATGGTTGCACAGGTCAGAACCGTAACGCAACTCTAAGCAATGCACTCCGCCACGTTGCTACATTGCAAGTGGTGATTATACGAAAATATCCTTTGAAAGGACAAACGCTATAGAAAGAATATAGTGAAGAATAAAAGGATACATATGCCGTCGGATTATATTGAGGTATATAGAATAGCACGAAGCATTCTATTTCCTTATAATGTATTTGACGCATGATTTTTTTAAAACTTTTCAAGCATCTAATATTACAGTTCTATTCGACCCGGCAGAACTGCGAGCGATCCAATGGTAGTTGATATCAAATCTTTGAAATATGAAGATGGATCAATTCAATACAAATTACGACATACGGAAAGACTTTGGAGTGACCTCCCCAGAGCGGCTATCAAATATGTTCCAAATGACATTATGATACCTTATCTAGGCTGTATGAGATTAGATTGAAAATAAAGAAGAAAAAATACCAACAGCTCATGGTACTCATTCAAAGCATAGATCAGGAGTATCATAACTTTTATCTCAATCTAACACATGAATAAAATGTCCAGCTCCTCTTTGAATTGTTATAATAAATAATTATTTAATGTTTATTTCGATTTATTATGGATCTCACTCATATTTGTGCTAGTCACGTGATGATATGTTCCTACTTACACCAAAGATATGTTTAATTTTTTAATTTTATGGAAATAAATGGATTTTTTAAAGTTTCTTGTATGTATTTCTGAAATAATAGAAATTTTCCTATTTCCCTAGTCTTATCCAATATTATGCAGATAGATATATGCCTAACTCCTCATTAAGTGTGAAAAACAAGTGTGATAAGAAAAATGAATACTGCTAACCTAATTATGATAACATTCTGAAATTGATTGGAGCATAAAATCAATAAACAATAGAAAATTATTGCTACAAATAGTATTTCGTCTCTCCTGAAAACTTTACTGAAGAGAACTTAGGCAGTTTTCTTATTAGGGCGACGATTTGTGTTATTTAATCTGTTAATATATTGTAATTGTTTTAAATATCTTGCGTTTTATTTGGCTCTCTGTACAATTAAATAGTTTACATTATTGCTGTTAGATTCTTTTCTATTATGTGGGTGGTCAAGTAAAACAAGTTCCGACTAACATCTCGGGGATTTGTGGCTCTTAACCCCCCTACTCTTCGCTTTATTGAGCTAATTCCAGAAAGGATTTTATTTATCCTGATCTATTAATTTATTATATATTTACAAAAAGGAAGGAGGAAACACACCACCGCTTCCTTCTATTTATAAAAAAGGATGTGGCACTACATAATATAGGAATGCATTTGGGATAATGGTAATCGAGATTAGAAGAAACGTGTTCCAATGCAGCTAAATACCATAAAGCAATAACAATGGCGTGTAAATTATATATAATAATTCTTGAGTGTATAATTACATCATTGACTTTATTGTTCCTTGTTATTTATTTGCATTGGAATCCATTAGAAAGATCAAGGCAATTCCGTGGCGCCTTCCACACAATCTTGGCCGTAAAAATATGCAGATATGAATTTAGTTATGTAAAATTTTTGAACTGGAAACGTCTCGGTATGCGCGATTGATTTGCCGATTCAAAGATTTTGAAGTGCTGGGTTACAAAATTACGCAGGGTTTTAAGTCAAATACCATTTTATGTTCTTAACCCTGTTTCATCGTATATGCGTGGCAAAATTCTCAGCAGTGAGCCTCTCGCCGAGCGTCAGTTCGAACTGTGTCCACCCTCCTACCACATTGGAGTAGGTGATTATATTAGTATCCTCCTCTCCATTGGAATATACGTAGTTCGCGTACTCTCTTTCCTCCCCCATTCAGACAGCTGTCAAAACAAAATCATGTCCTGTGAGGAACTGTGCGGTTATAGTAATCTATCCGCACCGCTCCCTTGTCAATCCAACTTTTAATAACTGAGATCAGCGTTCTGGTCCATGCACAATGGCCAGTTGCCTCCCATCTCTCCTGCCATCTGACAAAAAGCGCCCCTCTTTCGACCCTTGTAGTGTCGATGCCCTTTTTATAGAATGCACATCTCTGCGCAGCTAGCAAATCAACTGGCGGGATACCAGCCACCACCAGCAGTGCATGCGCAGCACTACTTCTTGCTAGCTTCTCAATATTAGCTGCCTATATTTCTTTTTCCTCAAGGCCTGGCCATATATACAGGTACGGACTCCGTACAGCATAATCAAGTTTTTTTGACCCAAGCACAGCAGACAAGTTTAACATGCTGAGCAGTATTTTGAAGCAAGTAAGCAGAGAGATAATATTGATTGGAATTAGTCGCCACCATCAAAAACATCTGTGTTCCACTATTTACAAGGTTTTTACTGTATTATTCAAATATGTGTACATTTGGACAGTATACGTATATTGATTATACAATAAGTTTGAAATCCATTGGCGTACTATTTTTTTCTTAAAAAATATCGAAGTCAATACCTGTACGCACGCCACTGTTGAAGCTAAACATTATTTTTGTATTGAAAAATATGCATCTTTATTAACTCCCACTACGTGTTAAATATCAGTGAAATATCTGAAGCGGTTCTGAAAATATTAATTAATTTCCAATTTTTTTTTTAAAACTTCAACCCCCGAGTTTTTGTAAGGAAACATTTTTGGACCATAGTTTACAAAGCAAACTAACATTGATTTTTCATGTAGATTTACACCATCAAATATTATATATCATTAAGGAAAACCCTGTATATATTTAAATATATCCTTAAAATTCTTTGGGTTGAAGGCAAAGTTTTGCATAAGTACACTCTTATAACTTGAACTCGAGCTTTCGATGGTCTATGCCTTCATCGTCTGGAGCTAAAATACATTTTTTGAAAAAATAGCAACAATAAGCAATTAGGATGAAAATAATTACTTACTAAGTCGGCGAGATTGTTGCTGAAATTGCTCTTAAACGACACATAGTCAATGCATAGTAGACGAACACAAGTATATATATATATATATACAATGTGTTTGGTCACGACATACCGATATTTGAGGGGGATATTTTTCAGCTACTTTTATTTATTGACAAATCCATCCCCTAAAATGTCCTACCTCACCATCCTTGAAATATATCCATACCACTGCGAATGAAATTAGGGCTGACACGGATATGGTCTGCCGATCAACACGACACATTTTGAACAGCTTCTGTAACATTAAACATGTCCAAGCTCTCTATAAGAAACCTTGATTTGTCATTTTTATGTATAGAGAGTTTGAAAAGAGTTTGCATTTTATTACACGCTTTTTCACCCATGTTAGATAGCATTTATTGCTTAACGTAAAATACTTAGGATAAAAAAAAGCAAAAGTATAACTACACACTACTTCTTGAATGGTGTGCGGAAATGCGCAAAATAATCAATTTTCTTCCATATTTTTTTCTGTTTTTAAGTATGTTTTATGGTTAGTATCAAAACAGGTTTTTCAATAATCGCTAGGACATGTCATCGTTCAAATCACACCAAATTTAACATTCTGTGACACTTACGTACTCAGTTATTACAATTTTCATACATGCACTAACGTAATCTTAACGTAAAAATAAAAATGGCTGCCATTTCAAGGGGGATGAGGTAGGTCATTGTAGGGAGGTGGATTTGCCGATAAAAATAGCTGAAAAATACCCCTCTTACATATCGGTATATAAATATATATACACTTACAATACTCAAGCTCAAGGAGTCCGTCAGTGAGAATGGTGCTACTATTCGATGTTAAAAAATGTAAAAGATGACACATGGTAAGGTGATCAGAAACTGGATCTACGTCAAAAAACGATGCAGCCGCATGATTGTGTTTTACTACTCTACTGCAGAAGCATTTCGGCAATAATTAATTAGATAATTTTTTTTATTCAACTTTTTAAATTTACATTATTGAATAACCTAAAAATAGAAATTTTTAACCTCTCGACCACTCTTGGACAGTACAAAAATCGGATTAAAAGTGTCTTTGAGCTCGTTATATTAGCCGCCGTTCCCCCATATTTAGGTTCTTGCCTTTGCGGCTGCCTTGGTATATAAAACAAAATGGTGGTCCCTTCTCAGTACTCTCTATAGGTATCTATAAACTTCTTACCTTAGATGTTCCATTTTGTCTGCGTCTAGTATTTCAGCCATTAGTTTAAAACGAATAGAAGAACAAATAATAATCAGTCCTCTCCACAATCGAAATTGATACCTGTTCTACCAGCACGACTGGGTGCCGGTACCGTCTGACTCCGGTCATAAACTGTCTGAAATATGACCAAATGCGGCATATTAAACAATATGGTGCCGTCCATGGCCTCTTCGATGCCCAGATAAGAGATCACTATTTCTGTTGGAATAATTGACACGTATCCCATGTGGTTGGAACTGCATGGTGTAAATATAAGCAAACTTGTTTGTTTATTAATTAGCCAAGAGCTTCTTGGCACTATTGAGCCATAGAATCCGTTTTACTGCAATGTCAAAGTTGTAGGCAGTTGTGCTTTTTGTTCTACCCAAACATTGCGCAGATGTACACTGAGAAAAATCAAAAGGGGATCTGGAAGGAGGACGTCATGTATGAAACACTTTCTGAATACACTTTTACATGCTACCATCTCATAGTATGCGCTAGACTCTTTCTTGCTTACTTCCCACGTGTAGTAACGAAACGGTCTGGTAGAGCTGGTTATCTGAAGCGCCTATATTGACAGTCTGTGGTACGCCTCGGTAGACCAGTTGGCCTTCTTCGTGTTCCTCTACCTTCTTCTATCCACACGCGACACACACGAATTGCAATACAATTAACACGGCGCCAATTTTGCGATAGGACAAACCAAAATCCCGATAGGCAATAATTCTACCCCTGTCAAAGTCGCAAACATGGGGATAATTTGGACGTCTTCGAGCTCGAGGAATTTTGCTATGGTTAACTCTAGTAAGTGAAAGCGCAATAACTAAGAATATTTGTACTGCTCAGCTCTCAGAAACTGCTTTCTTCACAAAAAGGGATAACATTTTAGCAAAGGTAAACAAAAACAAAGCTAAAACATGACATTATTGCCACAGCATGCTTTAAATATAGTCATTATGTAATCAAAAAAACAATCTGAATAAATTAATTATCTCAAGGTATAACACTTCTAATGACACTAAGTATTAATATGTATAGTCAACGCCAAACAAAGTGGCGTGCACGTCATCACGATAAAAATTCCCCGACCTAATGCCTAGGTTTCTATCACAAACAATTGCTCTATTGCAGTTTCATATTAATGTGATATATAAATTGTAAAATGGTCATTACTCTCTTATTATGGTTAATAGTCATATAAACATTGTTATTAAAATATCACATAAGTTGCTTTCTGATAAATTTAGACGCATTATGCGAAATAAAATGTTTTGCAAACGCTCCAATCACTTATCGACATGTAAACGCACTAAACCGATTTCGCAGCGTTGACACATTGTCACCTTGAAACTTATTTAAACTGGGAACTGACATTTGTATTAATTTTGACACTGAATCAATTTGTGGCATTTCAAATCTTTATAAATCCTTTGGCCCCGCATACTGTAAATCAACAACTGTTTGTTTCAAAACAAAATTATTCATTTTACGAGTAGATAAAGGCAATTTTGGTATATAAAGATGCCCAAACAGTTAAATAGTCGGTGTAAGGAACTCGTGGCCTCGTTAATGCACTACTTTGAGCAAGAAAGGGACAACAACGGGCCTTTGTTGCCTTTAAATGCTGTTCAAGAGGTAGGTTACTAATAATTATATGTAATGTATATTAATAATAGTGAAATTTTATTTCATTTTTTGTAGCGTGTTGCTGCTGCTTTAAAAATTAGTTTAAGGACAGTTAGTCGTATTTACGAGGGTGTGAAAAGTGATGCAAATTTAGAATCGCCCAAGAAAAAGCGGAGTTATATTAAACGTGTAACCAACACAGCGACATTGGATACAAGTGCCATTCGAGAAGTGATCTATAATATGTATCACAAAAGTAAGATCTTATTATAATAACTTATCAGAAATTTGCATTAATTTGTTAACTAAATTATAATGTCATATTACACATGGTTTCAGAAGAACAAGTTACAATACAAACTTTATGGTCTCGATTAAGAGATAGGGCATTATTTGATGGTAGTGCCACGTCTTTAAGGCGGTTGCTTAGAGATCTTGGATTTAAGTGGCTTAAGGACAATCCGCGACGAGGGCTCATGGAACTACCAAGTATAGCTTTGAAAAGGGTGGAATTTCTAAGGCAATACAATCAAGCCAAGGTTGAGGCCTTATACCAGTTTGTCTTCCTCGATGAAACTTGGATATTTCAAAATGGGACCATAGGTCGCTCTTGGCAAAATGGAAACCAAAAAAGCGTGAAAGCTATTAAAACAGATGGTAAAAGGTATGTACTTTTACACAATTTGCACTATAAAATTTAAAACTAATATATTTTAGGTCTGTGCCTTTGCTTGACCCTTATGAGACTACTACCCTTGTTTACCAGCCCCTGTCAGGTGCTCCGTCCTTCTCTAGCGGTCGCGAATCAATCTCCCCTCTCTGTCCCGCTCAGAGCCTGGTCGCGACCGCCCGTCAGCGCCGGCAAGCCCGCTTGCGCTTCAGTACGCTGTTGTTTACCATCCCGTCAGGTGCGTTCGGTAAAGTTTGTATACGTATTCGTACAAAACTGGATATACAGTGCATGTTAATTGTGCAATGGATAGTGATAGCGAGGTATGTAGATTTTTCAAAGAGTGATTTTCTCTAATTTTAGTATGTTGACATTCCCTTTATTGCATGCAAGTGATTCGAGCACCCTGCGTCTCAATCACGTATTTACTGGTATATAACTTATCTGATCGAGCACTCTTACGTCTCATCAGTCTTTACCAGTCATGCTCTAAGTATTTCTTGGCGTACGGCCCAGAATTTGAACGTTCACGGCTCTGTGAATGGGCCTCCAAGGCTCAGAAGTTGAACCTTCGCGGTTCGGAACTTGAGCCTTACGGATAGGTAATTGAGCCTTACGGCTCGCACCCGAGCCTTACGGCTCGCCCTTTGAGCCTTACGGCTCGCCCTCAGTCGATGCGAAGATGTATCGAGAAATTTCGAATATGTTGGCAACCGGAGTTCTACAGGAGGTCCCGAGCTCAGTGAAATCCGGGTTCCTTTCAAGAATGTTCTTGGTCCCAAAAGCAGACGGCTCCAATCGCCCCATTTTCGACCTCAGAAGATTAAACGCCTTCCTGAGCCCAAAAAGATTTCATTTAATAAGCCATCACCGGGTTCCAGAGTTTTTACAAAGATACGACTACATGGTCAAGCTCGACCTATCGCAGGCATATTTTCATATACCTGTCAAGAAGAGTCACCAACGGTATCTAGCCCTATCATTTCAGGGGAAGGTATATACCATGACGTGCTTGCCCTTCGGACTAGCAACCGCGCCCCTTACATTTGCAAGAGTGTCAAATTGGATAGCAAGCCAGCTAAGGAAAAAGAATGTAAGAATCATCGTTTATTTGGACGATTTTTTGATAGCCGGTCAAACCGTGGAAGAGGTGAGACACGACATGCACCTAGCCGTGGCCTTCCTAAGAAACCTAGGATGGAAGATCAACTATTCAAAGTCAATCTTAGAGCCCACTCGAGTGATAGAGTTTCTTGGGCTAGGCTGGGACACGGGGAGGAACCGCAAATTCGTCCCGCAGAGAAAAGTCGACCGAATCAGAAAAGAACTCCGGAAGCGAATCGACTCAGGGCTCTGGAATTGGAGACAGGCGAAGTCGATTCTTGGAAAATTAAACTTCGTAGGATTTGCAATACCTCTGGGACGGTTGCATTGTCGGCGCATCCAGATAGCCAGCAAAAGACTCCCAGAATTCGAACCAAAGACATCATATCGTATCCCGCAAGAGGTGATTCAGCAGCTTCATTGGTGGCTAGAGAATTTGGAACAGACGTCAGAACTTTTCACACCTCCGATGACAGTATTCCTGTCGACCGATGCGTCGGACGTTGGTTGGAGTGCTCATCTGCTAGACAAAACAATCAAGGGTACTTGGCCGGCCAAACAAACGTTATGGCACATAAACAAAAAGGAGTTGTTTGCCGTTTTCCGTGCATTGAGGAGGTACAGGGCGATTCTGAGGCACAAAACCGTATTGATACAGTCCGACAGCCAGACGGTTGTTGCTTATATAAGAAACGAGGGAGGCACCAAATCCAGAACCCTTCTCAGAATGACGGAACAGCTACTGTTGTTTGCAAGGAGCTACCAGATCCAGATATCAGTAAGGTACATCCCGGGGGTTTACAACAGTATTGCCGATCACCTGTCTCGGCAGAAGGCGGTGCCAGACTGGCACCTGTCAGAGACTGCCATTCGTCCAATTTTTCTCAAATGGGGCCAACCAACAATCGATCTGTTTGCAACCAGGAGGTCGAGAGTCGTAGCTGCCTATGTTAGCCAGTTTCCGGAGGACACGGACGCCCTTTTCATAGATGCGTTCAGTCGCCCATGGAGCTTCGGAATTGCTTGGGTATTTCCCTCTCCATCATTAATTCCAAGGATGCTCCATCACCTCAATTCAGCGGAGGGGACTTATATTGTGATCGCCCCACGATGGGAGCAGGCATTTTGGCTGCCCGACTTACGCAAGAGAGCGCTGGAGCCATCACTGCCGATTCAAGACACCCATCTTCACCTGATAGACATGGCGACCAATCAAGTTCCACCAGAAGTCCAGCAGCTACATTTCGAGGCTTGGAAGGTGCGGGGTGGCTACATTACACCGAGGGATGGAGCGCAGATGATATAGCGCTTCTATGGAAAGCCTGGAGACCTGGTACCCTCAAGACATACTCGGCAGGCTGGAAACGATGGCTGGAGTGGGCTAGGAGTCAGAAGGTTCAAGTCAATAACCCTAACCCAAAAGAGGTCGCATTGCTTCTTAGTTTTTTACACAAGGCTAAGCAACTCTCATATAATACTATCCTCTTAAATAAATCGATAGTGACCACATTCGCCGATCCATCCCACGCTGAGGCTATAAATAGGCACCCTGTGGTGAAACATATGCTCAAGGCTATCAGCCTTTCTAAGGTGACTAATCGCAGAATCAGTATTTGGAACATTAATGATTTAATAGCCTGGTTAAAATCCAATCCCCCCGATCTGGACAGTATGTTCCAGGTTTCACGGCATCTCGCCATTTTACTTCTTCTTGCATCAGGCAGACGTATCCACGATTTAACCCTGCTAGCCATTAGTGGCTCCTATTTCCAGGATTTTGGCTCATGGATGGTTTTCTGGCCTAAGTTCGGTTCTAAGACGGACAGGTCTTCGTACAGGCAATCGGGATGGAAGATCTCAGAGAATGATGATAAATCGGTGGATATAATCAAGTGGATACGAATTTTGATATCTCTTTCCGAGGAAAGGCGACATGGCGCGCCGGATTTGGATAGTCTGTTCATATCATCTAGGGGAAAGGTGCGGCCAGCTTCAAAAGCTGTGATTGCAGGATGGGTTAAAACCGCCCTAAAGCAGATTGGTGTTGATACAGGACCAGGTAGCATTCGTTCAGCGGTTGGGTCAGATCGCTTTAGTGTGAATATGCCATTGGACGAGATTCTGAAGAAGGGAAACTGGCAGAGTGATAAAAACTTTTTCAAGTACTATTGTAAGCTAGTCGAGCCAGGAGGATCTACCGATCGTAAGGGAAATACTCCCTCGGAACATTTTGATGTTGTTTAGCCATCATTTTTGTTTTTGTTTGTTGTTTTTTTCAATAAGAATGTCACCATTTATGTTCGTTGCTACAATATAAACCTTTATGTTCTACCGACTTGGGGTTTTTTCCTCCTATCACAGTACGCTCTTAGCGCCGGCAGACTACAAACACGTCTCATAAGGGTCAAGCAAAGGCACAGACCTAAAATATACATGTTTTTCCCCCGAAGGGTAAAAAACATTTATTTTGGGTCTTGCCAAAGCTTGACCCTAAAATTTTTATACCTAGCCGGCTTAAAAAAGACACGTACTGAAGCGCAAGCGGGCTTGCCGGCGCTGACGGGCGGTCGCGACCAGGCTCTGAGCGGGACAGAGAGGGGAGATTGATTCGCGACCGCTAGAGAAGGACGGAGCACCTGACAGGGGCTGGTAAACAAGGGTAGTAGTCTCATAAGGGTCAAGCTTCGGCAAGACCCAAAATAAATGTTTTTTACCCTTCGGGGGAAAAACATGTATATTTTAGATACATTATATTACATGCTGGAAATGAAAATGGGTTTATTGAGGGTAGTGAAGCGATATTTTCTTCGAAAACAAAATTGAGCGATTACCATGGAGAGATGAACCAGGACAATTTTTTGAAATGGTTTCAACATCAGTTATTAGAAAAATTGGAGAGTCCATCTATGATTATACTGGATAACGCCCCTTATCACAGCATGATATTGAACAAAGTGCCCAACAATGCATGGACAAAAAAAAATATCCAAGACTGGTTGACAAATCAAAACATACCATTTTTAAACACAATGTTTAAAACAGAGCTATTGAGTATTGTTGCTCGGTACATAATGCTTCTTAATTATATATATTTTGGTCGACAGTTTATATTTCTTTTGTTTATTCCTATTCTTAAAATAACTGCTTTTTTAGAAACAAACCACCTAAAATATACGTGATTGATGAATTGGCGGAACAACATGGGCACAAAGTTCTTCGTCTGCCTCCTTACCATTGTATATTTAACCCTATTGAGTTAATTTGGGGCATGCAAAAGGTTACTACAACAGACATATTGGTAGAGATGGTAACAGTGAAAAAGACTGTTTGGATATGTGGAACGAGGCTCTACAAACGGTTACCCCAGACATGTGGAAAAATAGTGTTCGACATACTGAGCAAGAAATTTTTAAATGGTATGAAAGAGAACGAATTTTTGATCGACCAGACATCGAACCTTTAATAATCAACTTTGAGAGTGATGAAGATTCAGATTCAGACAGCGCTGAAGAAAGAAACTCCGACTAACTTTATTGTACAGAAAAAGCTTACACCAGTAGCTTACCTAATTTTAGAATGCATTTTTCTGTATGAATTCTGTAAAATAAATACCATGCATAAAATTTGGAGGACCCCATTTGGATTTTTATTCAGTACCTTTAAGCTATCAATTAAATATGGTAGTTTCATAGTGTCATCTGATCAATAATTGTCATACTTAATGATTATGCAAGTACAGATCTATAATTTTATTATACTATTATTTTTGTTCTCATTTGAGGTTAATATTGCTTATAAACCTAGATATGTAAATAATAAATTTTATTATTTTACAAAAAGTTTGGCAACAATGTAAATTTTTCAACACACCCACCTTGATGACGTGCACGCCACTTTGTTTGGCGTTGACTATATAAAACCCTTTGAGTGTGCATCGACGTTTGCTAGACCATGCATTTGGTCAACTGGAATAATGATTATTATTATTATTTTTTGAAGAAAACGGCCCCTATGTGACTTTTGAGCTTCTTGTATGGCACGGTTCCCAAGTCTTCAGTTGTTCTTATAAGCACGTGAAAGGCCAAGGTGATCCACTTAGAGAACAATGAGAAGGTCCGAAAATTCTTCCGAAATCAATGATTCATAAATCATTTTATAACATTTTTAATCCATTATTCGCGAGCAACAACGGCTGGCTTTCTAATTTGTCCACGTCCAAAGTGCTGAGGGACACTTAAGTGCCCCTATCACGAAACACACTCAAAAACGCATTCTGTGTCGCTTGTCATGTTATCTATCTACTATTTTTCAAGCAACGATTGTACTCTGTGCCTCTGCAGAGTCTAGTCGAATATTATATACCAGTCATCGTAAGGTCAATAACTATACAGAAATAATGGAACTCCATATGGACCAATCAGAAAAGGACATAGTAGGGTATCTAAAAATTATTTAAAAAGAAAAATGTCGTGTAATAGAATTGTAATGTTTGGAAAGATTCATCTAATGGTGATCTTGAACGTAAGATCATACTAAAGGTATAGTCAAAATCACGAAAGATGACTATTACGTCATACCATAAATTGTACTGAAGTAATCAATGGACGTAAGTCGATGATAAAATCACGATGTCAGGAACACAATGACAACAAATTTATATTATGATTTTGCGAAGTTAGGTTATTTCACTGTTTATCTCTATTTTCATTTTATTTCATGGTTTTGAGTTATACCTTAATACTAATTTTAGTGAGGAGTTTTTGTTTTGAAAAAAAAAACAGTAGAGTAGACTACCTTAAGACCGAAACACCAAAGACCAAAGATTATTCGAAAACAACATAACCTGCGTTAACATAACCTAACTATTCATCTTTCAAATATGATCGATCATGCAACATGAAAACAGCGTCTTTCTTTGTCGGATACATGCAAATTAGCAATACAGTTTGTTTAGACAATAAAATTCTGTTTGTCTCTGTCTAACATATCTGAAACTTCATTAAAAATAGCCACAAATCGCTGTAGTTTGTCTTTACTAGATGACGTAATAGTCATCTTTCGTGATTTCGACTATACTACAACCTTCCAAGTCATTTCTTTAATGGAAACCCCTATTTTTTCACCGGAAATGTAACGATCGAAAAATTCTACCTTCAATTTTGCCCTTACCTTGCTCTTGACCACGATCGTCATAAGTATTAGAGAGCGTCGGAAAAAGTGAAAAGGACAAAATATCGCTTAAAATGCGTTTCATAAACAAAAATGCAGCAAATTAACGTTATAAGGCCTGGAAAGGGTCAAAGAACTGTGAGAATCTTTAACGTGAACTTATATGACCATCAGGGTCATTTGAGGGTCAAATGAATTTCTAACGGGAAACCTCTATTTTTAATTCCTGAAATGCAAACTGCGGGCAATTTTACTTTCAAGCATACAAATAGCAAATAAAAAAAAGTTGCAATAAACAGGTGGTCCCATAAAAGTTGAACTACTTTTGTTTGGTGTTAAAAGCCTTAGGTATAAACCTAACTTTTACATATGTAAATTGAGAAGAAGACATATATGTGAGTTTCTGACAGTGTCGAGGCTTGTTCTCAAAATTCAGGGAATAGGGAAAAATCGGTTATATCGACTATATTAGGTGAGTAGTCAAAAAATCAGGAAAGATAAATTCAAACTGACATATATCATCATTAATATTAAATCAATGAATAGAATAGTCTTCAAAATAATAATAATTTCTCATATTTAAAAGCTGAAGTCTAAGGCTGATTTAAAATCCATCTCCTCAAATTTGTTTTCAGTTTGCTAATATGGTGCTCCTTAAGTGTACAGGCACTACTTACTATACAATTATCATCGCTTCTTTGCCGGATATCTTTTGCAACTATTTTTATATGAGCGAATGTTCGCTTCAAATCTACAGGGTGTTTTACAACTTATCCGACAAATTTTAACCACATATGCACTGTTACGAAAGAATTAGATTTCTCAAAAGAAAATGTAATAAAAGTCCTACAGAAATTACGTGATAAACCTGAGTTTCAATAATAAATTGAAAAATAAATATCTGTATTTTTTCACACTAATAAGAACGTGTGTGAATGAAGAACGGTCGATTTTTGTTAGTTAAATAAAGAACAATTAAATTCTGATTATAATTGTGTACTCATTCCTAAGACGACTGTACTATACTTCTCATTCGGTAGTCCATGGCATTTATATTCATCTACCTGTGATTCAATTATGCATCATACATTTTTAATCGTTTGTGTAGCACACTGATTCGTGAGCTCTATGGATAATAAGTACTGTTAGTCTCCTCCTAAAGAATGCAACACTGCCAACGAGATACACTGGTGGCCACTAGCGTAGAGGGAAAATGTTACTACTACCATAGATTAACATTTAAATTCCGCCAAAAGATACCTAATCCAATATCGAAAGCCGGACATGCGCAAAATTAAGGGATACATATGGTTTTTAGGCGCCAGAGTTGCCAATGCTCCGTCTGTCGCTGCCGAGCCTACAGAGAAAAGAAAATAGGTATTTCGTGTAAAAAAGCTTGGCAGATAACTGAAAGTTTTGAATGAAAGGAGGGGGGGACTTCTAATGACAAGTAAATAAAACGACACCGCCAGATATGGGAAAAGCTCAAAAATAGGTATTTTGCTTGTATACTAAGTGACATATAAATCCGAACACCCAGTTTAAATGGTTTTATTTTAATAAAATTTTGTATAAGTACTTAATGAAGCATAATAAGTAAATGATAATAATTTCAAAATGATTGCACTGCTTTAAAGCCCTTTGACCTTTAATAATGTGTGGATGCACCCTGATGTGCTACGCATTCTCCAACGCGCCTAGGCATGCTTCTGATCAGGTGGTCAATGTCCTCCTGTGGTATCTCATTCCAGGCAACCACCAACTCCTCTCGAAGTGCTTCTAGAGTCTGAGGAGGACGTTGCAAATTGAGCAATCTCCTACCCATCATATCCCACACGTGCTCAATTGGGGATAAGTCGGGAGATCTTGGTGGCCATGGTAACAATGTGACATCATTATGTTGAAAGAAGTCTATTGTGACTCTTGCAACATGTGGTCAGGCATTATCTTGTTGGAAAGTTGGATCTGCCAGGGTGTCAAGATAGGGTAAAATATGGGGTTCTAGAACTTCGTGGATATAACGCTGCGCGTTCATGTTACCTCTGATGAAGATTAAAGGTGACCTGGAACCATAA